CTCCTTGGGCTCCCCCCTGCCCCCAGGGCTACTGACTTCTTCCTTCAGCTAGAGGGCAGGCTTCGTCCAATGTGGCGGGTACTTTCTCATCCTCACTAACTGGTCCTCGGATACCCCAAAGCAGTGGTTTGCAAGCTTCTGAAACCATGCACTCCTATTAGTACCAAGATTTTGAGCGTGTACCCTCCTCTGCTCTATGTATATTTATTACTAGTTGCACACATGTATTACTATCTACTTGCTTATTAAATACTTAAAAGCTTCAGTTTTGTAGGAGTGCCTGCGTGGCTCAGTTGGTTGAGCATCTGACTCTTGATTTTGGCTCAGGTCATGATCTCAGGGTCGTGAGATTGCCCCTCATCGAGCCCCTCCTGTGGCTCCAGGCTCAGTGGGGAATCTGCTTGTCTCCCCCCTCCCTCTGCCCTTACCCCTGCTCACACACATACGCTCTCTCAAATAAATAAATAAATACACCTTTTTCTGGATTGAAATCTTAAGTTCTATAATAACAGTAACTATGACTAGAAGCCCTGATCGCGTCTTCCCATCGCCCCAGCGGGGCTCGGGGCGCACTCCACACCAGCCATTGTGCCTCCACCCAGAGGGGCCCACGAGAAACCACAGCCCTGCTCTCAGCTCTGCCCGGCCCACGAGGACTCGGCCTGGGGGCTTGTGTCAACCCCACGCCGTGGGTCCCGCTTTGTGTCCCTACTCGGTTCTCGGAGCTGAGGTCCCCTGCCAGAGGCGGTAGGAGTTTGTGGGAAGGACATGCGGAGGAGGGGGCTCTTCTCACTTCCTGGCTTCTGGCTGGTGCCGCCCGGACACGGGCAGTGGGGGTGGAGGAAGGAAACCTCTCTTGATCTCTTGCAATGGGAAGGGTGGCTCCGAACAAGAGAAAGAAGGGGCCCGTAGCTGTTTTCCTTCAGTTCCAGGGGCAGGGCCTCCAGAATCCGGTTTCCCATGAAAATACGAATGTGTAGAAATAGATGAAAACTCACACCGTCACCACCGAAGACCTGTTGACAGGCTGGCTGTGTGCAGAGCTTGGAGCCTCAGGAGGGAAAGTCCAAAGGGATTCCGTTCAAGAGGCTGGAGGTGGTTTACAAAACCTGGCTTGGGCTCACAAGACAGTCTGCTGTATCTGTGTTCTGCGAGGCCTTTGTGCCTCCCGCGGGGAGGTAAACATTCCCGGGAGCTGGCCTCTGCGGAGGGCGGCCAGGAAAGCCCATTTCTGCAGCCTGCGGCCCGAACACAGGGCTCTCCACAGCCCGCTCGCATGACACGGTGTTTAATGAGGAGCTTCCTCCGATGGGCTCTGGGCGGCCGTGGGAGGCGGGCACGCGGCCAGGAGAATCCCAGAGAACGCGGAGGCCCACAACTGTCAGGCCCACAGCCAGTGATGTAAGGCCGCTCTGGGGTGTCCAAGGAAAACAAGTCTGTGTTGTCAGGGCCGTCCTGGCAACCGGGAGCTGCCCCCCCAGAACAGACAGTGCTGCGTGATTGCTAGCCCCTTCTTCCTCAGAAGGGGGAAACGTGAAAGACCTTTACTGTCACATAAAAGCCAACCGAAGATATGAGAAATGCCTTTTACAATGCGTCTCGCTGAAGAGGGGTCTCCATAGCAACTTCAGAAGTGTGTGTATACAACCAGATAAGGCCAGGCTGATGAAAGGCGCCCGGAATGTGGACAAGCTCCGCTCTGGGCATCAGCAGGCAGGAGTATTCTAGAACCTGTCACGTTCCCTCTCTGCCGACTGAGGTGCCAGACTCATCCTCCGGTCAGCTGAGCCACATCAAGGCCATCTTGCCTGGCCTGCTGCTGCTGTCCACCAGCATGACCCCGTGTCCAGTTTCCATCCAGTCTGTGCTTGAATGGCTCCCGTGTCAAGGGCTCTTCCCGCCGTCCCTAGTGCTGGGCGCTGGGAAAGGACAGTGATCGTCTACACTGGATTCTGAAAGAAACTGCTTGGTCACTGAAAGAGCAGTGCTTCCCTGAGCAGCAGAAAACATGCTTATTTATACGTGTTTTCACAGCTCCGAAGGCCAGGCTCCTGAGAAAGAGTCTCACGCGGGAGCTTTATTGGGGCAGTTCTCAGCATCAGCTCCTGGGGGGAGCGGCGGGTAGGGCGGAGAGGAAGATGAAGGGCCAGGCAGTCAGAGGGCCCCTGGAGCTGGGAAGGCCCTGTGGGGACCATCCTGCAGGAGGCGAGGGGCCTGAGCCTTGACGCTCCTACACTGACAGGTCCTGGATGCTCGTGGCCCCGGGGCAGGGCCCTTGACCTGGCCGAGGCCACTCCCTTCAGCCTGGGCAGTTCTGGGGAGCGGCTCCGTGGCCACCAGCAGCCCTAGCTGCAGGAAGGCGAGCGGTCCAGAGTGGGCTTGCAGGTGGCGCACGGTGGCTGTGTGTGAATTTACCATGAAGTCAGCGCCGAGGACAGTGATCAAGGTCAAGGGCACAGACAGCAGGGCCCTTGGATCTAAGTGCCAGCCTGAGCGGCCCTGAGACTCTCAGGCCGGGAGCCCCCAGGACAGTCCAGGCCACAGCATCCTTGTGAGTTCGAGCATCAGCGCGGGGTCGGGGGGAGGTGGTGCGGGCGGGAGGACGACGCGCACGCACCAAGTTCACACTCTGCCTCCGCACTTCCTAGCCCTGCGACTCAGGCCGCTGCTTGCTGTCCGCTCCCACAGCTCCGACGTGGGGACGGTCGCAGTGCCTCCACCACAGGCCTGTGGAAGGCAACAGAGGGGACCCACAGAAGCATGTCGCAGGACTGGCGGGCGAGCCGGGGAACACAGGCATCACCATGACACACACCGAGGCTGTGATGTCCTCGGGTTCCATCTGGACAGAAGCTGTTTGGTCGAAGGGCTTTCCATGGGAGTGGGGGGACAGGCACGAGGCCTGGGACTGGCTCGTTGTTTCTCTGTGCCTTTCGTGGGAGGGCGGCCCTGTCAGCCCTGCCGCGGGCTGTGGGGGGCCAGCCGACCCAGTCTCAGCTCAGAAGCCTTGGCGGGCCCTTCAACGCCAAATAAAAGACAACAGAGTACTTTGCAAACTATACACTCGGAAGCATGCTTATTTTCGGGTAAAAAATAGTCACCACCTTGTGGCAGGTTGAATAAACAATGAAACTCACTTGCAGATACTTCGCTCTGCGTTCAGCACAAGTGTTTGTCTGAACCATGGCGTGAGCACACACGCCAAGCGGGGTTGACGTGAGGACGCGGAAGGTTTCAGACACCGGAAAGCGCTTTGCAAATTCAATCACAGTGGTTGGAAGACTCGGCTCCGATCGATTAGGAAGGGGAACAGGAAGGCAGGGGCCTACCTGTGGTAGGAACTGGCTGGCTCTCATTCTACAAAGCAGCCACAGAACTCCCAAGAGTTACCAGAAGCTCTCCATTAAGGCGGTTGATTTCCACTAGCACTGTGCTGCGGTGGGCAGGCCCGCACGCTGCCTCGTTCCTCTCCAACAACAAACCCTGGAAAGCAGGGATTATGACCCCAGCTTGCAGGTGACAGAACCGAGGCCCAGAGAGGTACAGTGGCCAGCGCAATGTTGCTCAGCCCCGAGTATGTCAAGGGATTTAGGGCTGGAACCCAAGCACCAGCTTTCCTGACTGCAGAGAGAGTGTCTGCTCCCCGGGAAACTCTCACGAAGCGTCCCCCGCCACAAGGCAGGGTTCCGAGGAGGTGGGCATCACGTGTCCCTGGGGCTTTGCCCACAAGAAATGTCTCCCCACCTGGCACTGGCTCGCAGGGACTGACACTGTCATGCTTGGGGGCCTTTGCGGCTGCAGAAGAAAGCCCTCTTGGTCTGACTGTGTGTCTGCTGGCCAAATATCCGCAAACAGAACATCTCCAAATAGGGGGGAGGTCTGGCTCGACGTACCCACGTGAGACGTTTTTAGCTAACTCTCCTCCACCCTTGTGTCTCTCACTTTGTCTCTGCTGGGACAGCGGTGCCTGGAAGATTGGCGACACAGCTATCAGCAAATTGAGGGGGACTGCCAGGTCCGTGCAAACTGCCCAGGGTGCTTGCCTGGGCCTCCCCACATCTCAAGTGAACTTCTCTTCCTTCCTTCTCAAGAGATCCTCATTTTAAAACAAGGACACTGAGGCCCAGAGAGGTTAAGTGACTTGCCGGAGGCCTCACAGCAACTTAGGGAGAGAATCCAGCTTTCTAACAGACGTGTTCAGACTCCACATGGGAAATCAGATTAAAATGAATATCCAGGGCTAGCTGGAAAGGGACAGGAGTCCTCAAGGGCAGCTTGGGGGTGAAGGTGGAGGAAGGTGGCCTTGTGCAGCCCTTGAGCCTCAGGGAGGGCCTGTCAGAGGGGCCGGCGCTCTGCGTTACAGGTGGCTCTGTATGAGGCCACATCCTCCTGCTTGCCCAGCACCAGCTCCTGATATTGTGTTTCCCAAAGTCTGTTCCTGCCATACCGTGCTTCTCAAAACTTTAGGTGCATGCAAATCATCAGGTGAACCTGTTAACATGCAAATTCTACTTAGTAGCTCCGGGATGACGCCTGAGGTTCCACATGCTAACAAGTTCCCAGCGATGCTGATGCTGCTGGTGTGTGGACCACACGGTGGGTAGCGAGGCATCAATAGTGTACAATGAAAAGGGTTTTGGGGTGAATACTTTTGAGAATATCTGGACTAAACAAAATTAAACCAGTTTCCTCACTGCAGGACTTCCCAAAACCTTGAAAATGCTAGCGAGCGTCGTTAACGTCCCAGAGCGAGCGCTAATACAGAACTGCAAAGCGCTGTGCGTGAGAAAGGGCGAGGGAAGAAGGCCCAGAATGCGGGCGCACGCCGGTTTACGCAGGAAACGGAACGCGTCGTGCACGCGGCTCCCCGCTCACCTGGCCCGCTGGGTCCCTCCCGGCTCCTCCCCCAGGCGCACCTGCCGGCCACCAGCCTCCGGGACGCACATGCGCCCCGCCCCCGCCCCCCAGCCGCCGGGAGCGCCCGCGCCGCGCAGGCCTACCTTTCGCAGACGCGCACGGTCCAGGCGGCGATGATCCACAGCGAGATGCTGAACACCAGCAGCACGGTGCCCGGGCAGATGGTCATGAGGGTCTTCATGACGAAGCGGGTGTTGAAGTTGATCTTGTTGAGCGCGCCGATGCTGCGGGACGAGGCGTCGGTGAAGAGCTTGCTGTGTAGCAGCATGACGCGCGCGATCAAGTACAAGCGCAGGAACATGGGGATGGACAGGATGATGTCCACGTCGGCCTCCGCCCGCGACGGCGTGTACGAGAAGGCCAGGCGGGCCGTCCAGAAGAACTTGTACTCGCCGGGGATGGGGTGGATGGCGCACACCAGCATCTCCAGGCTGATGTGCAGGATGCGCTCGTAGGTCATGGCGATCCGCCAGTCGTCCGCGCCGTTGTCGATCACGAAGAGCTGGCGGGAGCAGAGAGCCCGTTAGAGCGGCGGGGGCTCACCTCGGGGCCCCCAGGGGAGGCCTGGCCTGTGCGCTCGGGGCCCTGCTGGCCTCTCCAGACTGCTTCCCGGGCCCCCTTCCTGCCTGAAGGCGCCCCGAGCTGGCTGTCCCACGAGCAGGAGGAGGAGCCGCCGGTCCTGCTAAAACCGGCCCTGCGCCCCTGCGGGGCCCTGGCGGGGGGTGTGGAGGTGAACAGCGGTGCTCCCCACCCGAGCGACCCCGGGGGCTGCGCAGCTTCTCTCCTCCTGCGGAGAAGGGGTCCGTGTGCCCCGCCGCACTTTGGCCCCACACAAGGCAGCAGAGTGTCCACGGTGGGGGCCCTGGGTCAGGATCCCGACCCCAAGGCGAACCAGCTCTGTGATTGGGGTACATTAGCGAACCTCTGTGTACCTCAGGCTACCCCCGCCGCCGGCCGGCTCTGTGAGGCTGCTCTGGGTCTGTGTGCACGGGGGTCAGACCCCGCCTGGCTGCCAGGAAGCCCTCGCTGTGATTACCGTTAGCACCACGGGTGGCCGGGCTCAGGGCCGCCTGGCGGCACTCGCCCTCCTTGCCTCTGAGACCCCTGCAGCCACACCATGAGGGTGAGCACCTGCTGTGTGGCTGGCCCTGGCTGCTGCTGGGGCCCACAGGGGGGCCAGGCCTTGTCCTCAAGGAGGTCCCACCTGAGGAGTCGAGGCTGAACAAAGCAGCTCTGAGCTGTTCCACAAGGGGAACTAGGAGGCACTGTGGGTCCAATGGGGCCCAGTGGCTCTCATGAGGAAGGTGTGATCCCTAGCCAGGAGAAGGTACCCAGCCCCGCACCCAGCCAGGACTCCCCTCCCGCCGTCCCCAGTGCAGCTGAGCCAGGGGCGGGGGGTGGTCCAGACACAGCCTTCCACCATCTGCAGACACAGAAAAGCCCTAAATGGCTGCTCGGTGGGTCCCCTCTGCTCCTAACTGCCACCGACAGGCCAAGCCATGGCAACGTGACTGCTGGCCAGACTCTTCAAATAGGAAACGAAAACCGTGCACCCTATAATAAAGAAGTGCATCGGGTTACTATAGTAACCGGGTTCGCTGTGGGCAGGAACCCAAGCGACGATGCCGGGGCACAGACCTCTCTGAGTCCCCCGCGGGGAGGGAGACTGTGTGCTCTCCATGTTACAGGAGACGGCACATCACGGGCCCAGCCTGGCAGGAAGGTGCTGGTCCCCGGGTCTCCTGGTGTGGGAGGAGGGGGTGGGGGCAGTGAGCAGAGGTGGGTGAGCCCCACGGGCGTCGCCACATCCAGTTGTTAGCTGTGTGCCCTTTGGCGGGTCACACGCTGCTCTGAGCCAGTTTCCACCTCTCTGCCAGCGAACTCTTCATCTTGAGCCTGCCCATCTCACGGGATTAGCGTTGGGGTCCAGAAATACGGATAGTACGCGGAAGTGTGCTTTACCAACCACTCTAACAGTGGCCTGGGGCACTCATAAACAGGGTGTCCGTGGGGCGTGGGGGGGCTGGGGCTCCAGGGCAGGCCCTTGTGTCCCAGGAGACTCCACTGCTGTCCCACATGAGGACCGCCTAATGCCCACCGGAGCCACAGGGCAGCCACAGGGCAGCCCCCCACCCACCGCGTCCTCGCTCAGCTTCCTGCTTCCTGCGCGTCCCTCACACGCTGCAGATCTCGGTGCGTACTTTGCTTGTCTGTCTGTCCCCCGGAATGCTAGAACCACTCGGAGAGTTTGTTGAAAATACCCGTACCTGGGCCCACGCAGACCAAGCCGATCGGAATCCCTGCGGCTGAGGCGCCAGCATTGGGATGTTTCTTCAAGCTCCCCAGCGGACTCTAAAGTGTCTCCGGACCGGGAGCCCCCAGCACCGCCGGCCTCCTGAGCGACAGGGGCCGTGTCCTCCCTGCTGCCTGTGGCGCCTCCGGGACCCGGCCCGGCCCACACGCAGAGCTAGCGCTGGTGAGTGCGGGTTTAGTGAATGGCACGGCTGCTTACTGTGGGAGACCCCTGGCTGAGCGCCCTCTTGGGCTCAGTCTCCTCCTCTGAGGAGTGAGGGGCAGGTCAGTCGGTCCCCAAGTTGCCGTCTCCTCTGAAGACCCTCTGGCTTGGCGCCTCCCACTTCCTGTGTGTTGGCGCATGAGCTCTCCAGCGCCAGGACCGACCCCTGGCGCGTCTCCTCTCTCCAGCGCCTGGGAGGGTAGCTGGCGCGCAGTGGGCAGGCTCTGGCACTTCGGCGGCTAGAGGGCTGTGTAGCTGGATGACTGTGTCATGTGAAAAAGAGGACAGATGGCCAGAGCCCCTTGCCGACCACCCAGGAATGGGGATTCCTGTGGAAAACTCATTCCTAAGCCTGTGACCAACGAAGTACCTAACGGTTCACCTTAGCCATGGGCAGGGCACCCTCTGTTCCCAGGGGCTGGTCCAATCTGGAATAAATAAACAAAGCCTTAGAAAGTTCTGGAGGGCGCCTGAGTGGCTCAGTTGGTTAAGCATCTGCCTTCGGGTCAGGTCATGATCCCAGGGTTCTGGGATCGAGCCCCGCATCGGGCTCCCTGCTC